TCACATATCAGCTATTTAACAACCATATTTTATGTGTCCATTATCTGGATGTCTGTGGGTTTACTTCTGTTGTTCACAGCTTCTCTTGATTTTTGGCTACAAAGTTTTTGATTGAGTGCTAGATATTGATAGTGAGAAACTGTAGAGATCTTTTGACCCTCCTACAGAGAGAACAGAGCTTTATTTCTAGTACTCTAGGGGCATCAGCATCTCAGTTCAATGAGGAATCGAGGTAACACAAAAATTGGCTTCAGTTTCTTTGGAGGTGATCTATTTCCAGTTCATCCATCCTAACTCTTAAGATATAGCTTTTCAGGAACTTCTTAACCCGAAGAATGGGGACTGGTTTACAAATGTTCCTCCTTTGTGATGTGCTTTGACCTTCACTGTTTCTATTTTATAGTTTAGTTTATTTTGGGTTGCACTGGGTCTTCACTGCTTTGTGAGGGCTTTCTCCATTTGCTGGTGAGTGGGTCTACTCTTTCTTGTCGGGCAAGGGCTTCTCATTGAGGTGGCTTCTCTTGTTGTGGAGCACAGGTGCTGGGTGCTTGCGCATTAGTAGTTGGAGCACCCGGGCTCAGTAGTTGCACCTCCATGACTGTAGGGTGCATGGGCTTCAGTACTTGTGGTGCACAGGCTTAGCTGCTCTGAGGCATGTGGAATCTTCTTGCCCCAGGGATTGAACCCATGTCCCCTGCACTGGCAGGTAGATTCCCTATCAGTTTTGCCACCAGGGAAGTCCTTGTTTATTTTTTAAAAAAACTGGCTTCGCTGGGTCTTCATTGCAGTGTGCTGGGTCTTCCTTGCTGGCTCTTCTCTAGTTGCAGCATGCTGGCTTCTCTCGTTGTGGAGCACAGACTCTAGAGCATGCAAACTCAGTAGTGGTGGTACACTTAGTTGCACTGTGGCATGTGGGATCTTAGTTCCCTGACCAGTGATTGAACCCAGGTCCTCTGTATTGGAAGGTGGATTTTTAACTCCTGGACCACCAGGGAAGTCCTGACCTTCATTGTTTGCCCCTTATTCTCCCAGCTCTATGAGACTGTTAAAGTGCTATTTATTTTCTCTCTTGACTCTAGTCTTGAATCAGCAGGTACCTCCTGGGGAGAGTGGGCCTCAATGCTTGTTTTTGATCTTTGAGCTTCCTTCCTCTGAGCTCCATAATTACCCATGGCATAACTTGGTAATTCTCTGATAATGTCAAATAGATTTAAAATATATTATCTATAACATTTCTAGTTGTCCTCATCTAATCTAATTTTTTGTGGAAGCTTCTATGGTCCTAATGGTATTTTTTGCCACATGAGTGTTTAAAATTTTATGTACACCTAAGTATTTAATTTTTTCACTGAGCTTCATGCCATGCCTATATGAATTATTTCCACTCCAGGCTATAAATATGTACCTAATTTTCTGGTTTGTTATGGATTCATTAAAAATGTACTTAATTTCATGTGGAATTTATTTTGGAATAAAGGAGGAGGTGGACTTTGAGTTTTAAAAATTAACACCATGAGTGACACTGTATTTTCCCCACTGATCAGTAATACCCCTTGTTGTTGTTCAGTTGCTCAGCCATGTACGACACTTTGTGAGCCATGGACTGCAGCACACCAGGCTTCTCTGTCCTTCACCATCTCCTGGAATTTGGTCGAATTCATGTCCATTGAGTCGATGATGCCATCCAACCATCTCATCCTCTGTTGCTCCCTTCTTCTCCTGCCCTCAGTCTTTCCCAGGAAATCAATTTGAAGAGTTTTCTTTAGAATTGGGAAGTTCTGTCTTATTCCAGAAGTCATACTCAATACGGTTGGTTGGAATTCTTAGTGAGAGACTTCAGCTCATCTCAGAAAGAATATACTAATAACCAGTCCCTTGGACTGCAAGGAGATCAAAACAGTCGACCCTAAAGGAAATCAATCCTGAATATACTTTGGGAGGACTGATGCTGAAGCTGAAGCTCCCATACACTGGCTACCTGATGCTGGGAAAGATTGAAGGCAGGAGGAGAAGGGGATGACAGAGGACGAGATGATTGGATGGCATCACCTGTATTTGAGCAAGCTCCAGGAGATAGTGAAGGACAGGGAAGCCTGGCATTCTGCAGTCCATGGGGTTGCAAAGAGTCAAACATGACTGAGCAACTGAACAGCAACAACAAATCTGTCCAAAGTCCAAGTTGCTTCATGAGAGAGTAAACTCTTTGAATCAGGCTATATACAACAAAGTTTGGTTTGTCATCTGTTAGGGATATTAGAAAAGATATCTTAAAATTTAGTGGGAAGGCAATTTTACAGATAGCAAACAAGTTTATGTTGTGTAACTACTTTTACTACTTCTAATCTAAAGAACCTCAGTTTTTTTTGAAATTTCTAGAACACCTCTCTAAACATGTTTAATGTATTAGTTTTGAGACCACTTAGGGAAAGATTCCCTTAGTGTGTGACCCTGTTATGTGCATTTACAGAGGCTCCAAAGGGAAGTCCTTTCTTGTGGATCAGCTCTGTTTCTCTTTAGAATGGTAAGGCACCCTACCGAAGCTTTTGGTGCTAGCTAGCATGGTCTTCCACACAGGAGGAATATTTTTTTCACACACACACACACACACACACACACATATGGCTTCAAGTCTTTAAATCTAATTTGCAACTTGTAATTTTGCCACTGATGTGTAAATATAGTCACTAAAAGAGTTCAGTTTTTTGTTAAGTGCAGCAATACTGTCTGAGGGATGAATCCATATCCCATATAAATGATGTCTCTCCAACAAAGCAGTTGTCTAGGAAACTGGTGACTAGAAAATGGCAAGTTTGAGCAAAATTAGTCCAAGGGCCTTAACTGAATCAGGTTTTTAACCAAAGTATTGGTGCTGGTTGAGATGTTTTTTGTGTGCAAGTAATAGAATACATCACTTAAGTATCTTAGCATTATTACACAAAAGAAGAAGCCTGGAAGGTAAAGTGAAGACTACTGTAGCAATTCCAAGCATTATGTCTTTACCCAAGTTTGACAGCAAAGGAAGGGTGTGGGGAGAGCCTGCCTTCTGCATCTTCTTATTTTTTTTTTTTTTTTAAATCAGAGGGGAAAATCTTTCCTAGATGTCTCCCAAAGGATATCCTTCTGTCTCATTGGTCAGACTGGGTCATATAACCATTTCCATTAGGTATGAATGGGAAAGCCAATTGCAGCCACATTAGCAGACATCATGGACAAGAAGGGGTTAAATTTGTCCCCATCAGAAACAGATCCCTCAACCTGACATTTACAAAGGACTTTGCAGAGCTTTTCCACTTACCTTTTTCTCCTAATTTTCATGAACACACCTAGTGATGTAGACAGTTGGTACTGATGGTGGTGGAGCGGAGAAGGGAAAGAGTTGGTAACTAATAGCAACTGGGTAGTGACTATTGTGGATGGTTCTATCTACAGGTGAAGGGACTGAGGCTCTACAATGGAGCCCTGGGTTTAAGGTAACATGAGTAGAAAGCAGTGACACTTCAATATGGACCATATCTAATGATATCAAGGAGGGTGATAACCATTAGTACTGAGTGCTTATTATATGCCAGCCATTGTACTATGTTACTTTGCAGTGGTTACTTTAATTCTCAACCTTATGAAAAAGCTGGTGCCTCTCTTTTATAGATAAGGAAATTGAGGCTCAAGGTCACACCTATAGTGAGTGAGGGTCTGTGATTAGAACTTCAGTTCGGCTGACAGCATGAGTACTTCCTTACTCTTTACTGCTTTCCCATTTGAATTCCCATATTCTTTGAGAACTACTGCCTCTGAGCTAAGCTTTTATGACTTAAGCGTCCTATTCTGTAAAATGAGATAATTCTACCTAATTTATAGGGCTCCCATGAGAAGTGAACGTGATAATCAATGAAAAGTAATTAACAAGGAGACACAGTAGGCTGGCATTAATATTGTGTAATTTATCTATGTTGAAATGCTCAATTGTTTTTTACCTACCCTACTGGACTGCGAACATCTAGAATAGCAGTTCTCAAAATTTTGGGGTTCAAGGGCTCCCTTTACACTCTTAAGAATTATTGTGGACCCCCAAAGTTTTTATGTTAAGTTATAACTCTCATTATTGCATTGAAATGGATACCGAGAAACGTCTGCCCCTTTAGCTCTCAGTGGTGATGCCATACAGATTATGCAACCTCTGGAAAACTTCTAGGTATATTTGTGAGCGCATGAACGTGAAAAAGGAAAGAAAAAGGAATTATGAGGAAAGTAGTTTTGACTTTATTGGGACCCCACAGGGTACCAGAACTGCGGCTCCAGCTTAAGCACTTCGTGAAGGAACCATCGGATCCCGCCGTTTGGCTAAGAAAACGCAGGGTCTCAGAGGAGTAAAAAACGAGAAGGCAGCGCGAAGCCGACATTTCACTCTCGCAGCATCGCCCCACGGCAGTTACACTTTCTTAGCCATCGCTGGTTCCTCGGCATCACCGCAGTTCTTACCGGAGCGCGACCCTTAGGACTCACCGGCTCCGAGGCCCCTCCTCCCCTGCGCGCGCTCCTCCTGGCAACCGGCGTCCCGGGCGCCCAGAGACAGGCCCCGCCCCGCCGCCTCGTTTCCGGGTCCGGGCTCCCAGGGCAACCGCGGATCGCAGCCTCGGTGTCACCCCGCCCACCCGCCTAGTCAGGCTAAACCATTCGTTTCAGGGATCGCCACCGGGGGATTGATGGAAACAGGGGGATTTCACAGACCGTCTATGCACTACTCTGCTCCTGCTTTTTCTACATAGTTTAAATTATACTCTTTTTTTTCCCTCTTCATCTCGCTAACGGTCCCTGCGAGGGGTAGTGCCTCGTCTCGCCTGCCCGGTTCGAAGGCCCCCTCGGCCCAGGCAGGCACTTGGGCGGGCCCGCCAGGGAGGTTCGCGGTCTGCGCGGGTTGGCGCAGAGGCGGGGCCGCGCGTCTGACGTAGTGCGCGGTGGGGGCGGGACTGTGCGCCCGACGTAGCGCGGTTGGGGGGGTGGGCCTGGGCTCAAGGGGCGGGGCGGCGGGCAAGATGGCGTTTGGCGAGTGATCTCCCCGGCTACCTCCAGCGGCCTCTGAGACACCGAGTCCTGTCCCCGCTACCGGCCTTCTTCCTCTCCCCCGCCCCCGGAGATCCCTCTCTTTCCCTTCCTCCTTCTATTTCGCGGGGGTGGGGTCGGTGGGAGGGAGGGGAGGCGGGCCTCGTTCCTGGGACACCATGTCGGACTCTGAGGAGGAGAGCCTGGAACGGCAACTGAAAATCGTCGTGCTGGGGGACGGCACCTCCGGGAAGGTCAGTCCTCTGGTTCGCCCGCCGTGCCAGGCCTGCAAGAAATCCCGGCGCGGCCCCGGCGCCCTTTAAACCTCCTCCTCCTCCCCGTCCCCCCGGGCGTCGCCTTATTTCCGCGAGTGCCGGGGCGTCTGGGCTCAGGCCCACCAGGAGGTGGCTAGGGGCCCAACACAAATTAGATGCTTGAAGTCCGACGAGAGCTGTCCAGCTCCCTTAGGAAAAAAAAGAAGTCATTTCCTAATCCCTGCCTGGATCGCGAACTCCTACTTCTCTTCAAGACCTGAGCCAGCATCGCCTCCCTGGGAAGCTTTCCAGCTTCTCGCCTCTGAGGACTAGCAAGGATCTGCCAAAACATCTTACCTGTTTTTCCTTTAGTCCAGGTCACACTTTGCGCCTTCCCCCCACCCCATTTACCGTTTCTGATGCCTCCGCTGCACTGGGAGCTCCCAAGAACTTGATTCTTGAATCAGGCTCCCTGGGTGAGAGAATTGGGGCTCCCATCTCTTGGGTCACTGGAGGGCAAATTGCTATCCCTGTTTGTGCTTCATCTGTAGGATGGGTATGTTGATAGGGGTCGCTTCGGAGGGGTGAAGTGTGCGAATCCACAGGGAATGTAAGCACCTACATGCAGCTTGCAGCACACGAAGTGCACACAGTAAACGTTAGTCGCTGTCTTAGAGCACCATACCTGTTCATCTCTGTTCCCCAGCACAGCACCTGTCAACACAAACATTCATTCAATAAATATCTCTCGAGCTCTTCTTGTGGCCTGGGTGCTGAGGGCAGGGCTGTTGGCATGACAGATGGCATCCTTGCCTTAAAATCTGTCCTGTGATGACAGTTGATTGAAGTGAGTGCGAGAGCCAAGTCCCCTTTACCTCCGAGGCAGGGGTCTTTAACCCAGGGTTGTGGAGCTCCTGAAATGGAGTAAACATTGCCTGGTCCTTGCTCTTTGAAGACCATCCGTAAGATCTTGAAGGATTCTGGATCCGCCCCGCCCCCCAAATAAAGAGCAGAGCCTCTGCCCAGGGAACCTTCACACCTGTCGCTTCTGTCAGTGGCGCCAACGCTGTCTCTGGTCATGCTGCTGAAGTTTGTCTCCTTTCTTCTCCCGTCCCTTTTCCCAACCAAAGGCTCCAGAAACGCAGGTTTATTATTGTTACCAGTGTTCAGTTTTCCACTCGATGTTTCCGTGTGCCTGGTGTAGTTTGGATGCTGGTTTCTGTGGTAACCACTGCTCGATACGTCTTCCCTTGGCAGTGGGCACTGCACAGCTGTTCGCCTCTTTCTTGCTGAGATTTCAGTTCCTAGGGAAAGGTGTCATTCATAGGCAGTTTGGAGAATTCTGTTCATTTCTTGCTATTCGTGATACTTTGTTACTGATTTTTAGTCTTGAGAAACAATTCGATATGCTCTGATTACTGTTAAACATTTTCAGGAAGAAAAGAACTTGGGATCACTTTTCTTAGTCAGGTATTAATTATATTACTTTTTGTAAGTTTATAACAAGTTTTTGAGTGGATGAATTATTTTAAGTAAGTCAACATTGTTTCTAACACACTCAATAAAAACTCTTTTTTATAGTTTTTCTCATCTGTATTTTCTTTTGAATGCCTTCTGATTTTTCACTTCCTAAATTTTTTTTATCGTCAACTCATGAAAGTTTATTTCCTGTTTAAAATGATAATGACTATAATACTAATACATCTCAAAAAAAGACAAAAATTGTCCATTATCCTATATTCTATCATAATTCTTTAAATTTTTGTTAATTTTTCCTCCCATTACTCATCTGTTATCATGCATGTATTTCTTAATTGAAATATGTTCATAACTTTCTACCTAGGTTTTTCATCTAGCCTGTCATGTATTGTCTCTTTTTGCTAATTTAGTGTGAATAATTATGACTTTTCGTATCTGTTTAAAATTCTGTCTAATGTGTGACAAAGTGTATTTTTTTCATTCTACATTATGGAATTAGGAATATTATTCTGCTCCAAAGGATATTGGTGTTCTTTTAGTCTTTGTCATCTTGATTCATCTGTTTTAAAATTGTAAAGATTTTTTTCTGCCAGAAATTTCAGGATACCAGCATCAGACATCTTACCTTTTTTTTTCATTGTTCATATATATCAAGCTGCTATTTTTTCCCATGCCATATTCAGTTTTCAGATTATTGGCAGCTACCAACATTCCCATTCTGTTTCTTTTACTGTCTTTTTCTTTTATGATTTCAGCCTCTCTTTCATTCTTACTTGCATCCTGATTTAACTTCTGTCCATTTTTTCTAGCATCACTTTTTGTTTTTCTTGCTAGTTCTAATCAGGACATTTTTATACACCTTACAAAAGCAATAGAGTGTTGCGATGACCACTAACAGTTTATGCAAGAGAAGTTTAGCACCTTCTTTCATTAACACATTTTTCTATTTTTTTCCTGTTTTGATTCCTTTGATTCATACTTTGAGTTTTATTATATATTAAGTTTTTTTTGAGACAAAATATCCTTTTATGGTGTCTTTTCAGTATTAGTAAAGGTAGTATGTTTAAAAATTGTTAGCAAAAGTTGACCAGACCCCCCCAAAAAAAAAAAAAACTATAAAGACTCAGAAAAAGAGTTTCAGATTTGATAGATGGTTGCTCACTTCATAATTGTTTAAGAAAGATATTTCTACAATGATTTCTGAGAAATTATCATATGAGACAGATAGCATAATATCTAGATAATTGGAGAGGAAGTGCCTCTTTCCCACTGATTCAGATGCTCCTCTTTAATTTTTGTAGTAAGATGTCTGGAGATGATGTAAGAACCCATTTTAATATTCATTGTTCCCAATGACCTACACTTTTGACAGATCATACTTTATTCCAATTGAAAATTCTAGTTTTATATGTCTCAAAAGTGTGAGGGTAGGGCTTTCAAAATCCAGAAGTCCTATTTTTAGGAAAAGAAACTCTGCTGAAGTTACATGTGCCTTGAATTTCTCTTAGACTTATGAAAGTGTTTCAACCATCCATATAGTAAACATTTTGAAATATCTGTAATAGTATAAGTAGTGTTAATTATTTTTCTTTAGAACCCTTAGCTTCTTCATAGATAGTTTTATGCTCTAAGTTAAATGAGTTCACTGGCATAAACAAGGCTAAATAAAAGAAGGCTTTAAAAAGGAATACTTACTTTTTTTTTCTTCTGATATCTCAGTTTTTATATTATCAAGGAAGCCAAATAAATTTTCATTTTGGTGTAGTAAGTTTATTTCTCAGAGTGTAGCAGAACATCTTTCTTATGGTGCTCAATATATATTTGACCAAATATTTTAGTAATTTCTTACAAATGCTGATTATTTAAATATTAACTGAATTGGAATTAGTGTGTGGAAATTGCCATTTATCTGAAAAATATGGTTCTTATGTCAAAGGAATTTTAGGAATTTTTGAAACAAAGTTTGACCCAGTTCTCTTTTGCACTTATGTCATAATTATAATAAGCTATCTTGCAGATTTTAGGTTTCATTATTTTAGGAGTTGACATCTAATTTTACTTTTAAAATAAAAAAGGGTTATTTTTCTTTAACTTTGAGAATCTGTCTTGAAGAGCAGAAAAGCTTCATGATGTTCCGTTTCTCTTCTTTTAGGGAATGTTTACAAATAAATAGTGCATTACCAATGTTTAAGGAGCTTTTGAGTTATTTCACTAGAATGATTAATTATTTGTTTGCATTGGTAAGAAATGGTACTGTAAATAAACTCTAAAATTTTGAATGTAACTTTGAATTATTATTTTACAAATGTAGATCTAGATTGAATAATTTTAAAAATGTAGATATATATTTGTTCTAGCTATAATATTCTTGAGACTGTTAAGCTTTCTAGTTCTTGAATGGAATATATTTATTTTTGCCTGCTTAATATTAATCTTAAAAACTTCAACTTCTTAATTTAAAAGATAAATATTATCAGTTCTATAGAATCATTTTCATTTACCGTTTTTAACGCAGAGAAAAATTAGACACGTTTCTCAGGGGGAAAAAAGAAAATTGTATAAACAGGTTCTCCTTTCCTTAATTAGTTCTACTTCTTATTAGCTGAAGACACAAACTGCTCAGATGTTTGACCTCAGAAATGAAGCATCTGTGAAAGTTGTGTTGAACTAATATATAGGGACATATAAGATTCAGATCTTTAATCATGTTGTTGTAGTTTTCTCTATTGATAAATAGAAATTCTAATTTCTAGCAAGGAATAGGAGGTTGACAGTCAGGAGATGTAGAGAGATTTAAAGAGATTTAGCTGATTAGTGTGTTGTTGCCACTGATAGCTGGTTGGCAAGTGAAATATACCTGGTGGAATGAAAAGTCCCTCTTCCCCTTGTAATTGATTAGAACTGCTTAAAGTTACTTGTTGGTATAATCGGAGTATAAATATTAAGATTACTTAATAAGATATAGTAGTGATTTTGTTTACATTTCTAAAGCCAAAGACATTAATTTTGATATTCTGTGCATCAATTTTTTAGACCTCCTTAGTTACCTGTTTTGCTCAAGAAACTTTTGGGAAACAGTACAAACAAACTATGGGATTGGATTTCTTTTTGAGAAGAATAACATTGCCAGGTAAGAGACTAAAATGTCTTAACATAGAAAGTTGTTCATATCTGACGATAAGAGACACAAGCAGATATGTGTAACATTTGGGTACTGTTTCTTTGTGAAAATATATGTAATCAGTAAACGTGTCTTAGGGAGGTTCTTTCATCAGCATCTATCATGAAGACATACTGTCCATGTGTATAAGGAAAAAATTTATATACTCCCCACTCTACACAGTTTTTGACCGTTGCACATTTTTTGAGGATAAACAATAGTTGCTTATAAAATTCTAACCTTAAAAACAAAATCAAATGCCATATAATTATCAACAGATATTGTATAAACTAAATGTGAGAGGACTGGAAAGGATTTTTTTTAAATGTTATTTTGATTAGCCTCTGCTTCAGTTTTTTGTTTGAGAGAAGGTTGGAACAGAAGTATAATGTAGCTATGGAACTTCTGTGCTCTAATATGTGAATGCTGTTTTATGCAAGGCAGCATGAAATTGCTGGCATTTAATAGACCACTAAAATTTAGGGTCCCTAGGCACTCATAAAAATACAGTTTGAGCATTCAAGATGTTTCAGTTCACCATGCAAAGAAACTATTTAGATGCCAGTTGCAGCACATTTTGTGGGAAATACAGGGAAATAATAACAAAAAAAGAGTGGTTTCTGTTTTAAGTTAGTTTCTGAACAATTGGGGCTTTAAAATGCTCTGTCCATTCACTTGTGCTTAAATTATGTGTTTAAAGTATTTTATTAAAAGCAGTCTGTCTTGATTGAGTTCATAAACCAGTCCATCTCTCTCTCCTCTCTGAGGAAACACATTTGAATAAAAACAGTTGCAAGTGTAGTGTCAGATTCATATACTGGAACGTGAATGATATATTGGGAAGGGGTTTAATAAATTCTAATATTATTGAAATATGTTAGTCTTTCAAATACTCCATCTATCAGACAACTCTATGAATGTTTTAGAACAGCTAATGAAAACTCTTGGTAATTGAAGGTATTCTGCATATCTCACTAGTAATATACTCATATTTTGATGGTTGTTACTTGACTACCAATGAAAAATAAATAAGAAGAAGATATAGCTTCAGAAAAGAATTCCAGTTATCCATTACTAAGTTATTGTTCAGAAAAAGGTTTAATGAGAAACATGTGTGTATTTTGTTTCATTTGTATTTTTGTATGTATTAAAAACTGAAAATCTTTTTATTATTAGCTTATGCATAGGTTAATGCTGATATGAATAGAATATTTACCCCAATCACTAGCAGAATACATGTAGAAATCAGATAATATATTTAGTGAAAACTTATTTCACAACAGTTTCTTCAGAGATGCCAGCTGTACACAGAAAACCTCAGTATGTATTTAATTACTATTTTGTTTCAGTGCTAACTAGCAGAAGCACTTTCTGTATTATGAATATTGTTTAATTTTTCTGATTTTTCAGTTCAAAGACTTAAGTAAAGGAGCAAGCACCTATTCAGACATTAAAAACATTTTAAGGCGGATTCTAAACATTTTATATGTGTAATACATGTTGATGATTTCTAGTTCTTTGCACAATACCAACGAGTTTTGAATTTGGATGACTTTGTAAAAAGTATTTGTTATTTTTGAAATCCAAATTTATAATATATTTTAGAGTAGAAAGTACTTAGGCTAAAGAAGTGACACTAGGAAATGCATACTCTTATTGAATGTGTATTTTATTTCCTGATTAAGCTTTTATTTTGATGGGCAGAGTTCCAGAAAAAACTTTTTTTTATATAAAAGCAGTTGGTTTTATTCTGTTTAGTGGATTTAAAATTATTGTATAAATATTAGAAGGAAAAAGCTGTAGCTTGATTTGATATGAATAGGTGTATTAAGAAATAAGATGAATAAAGGTTTATAGTATACCCTTTGTATAGTTTAATTTAATTCATTGTGCCCAGTGATTAATATTTGTGTCATTTGCTGAATCATTATAGGCAGCATTATTAAATTGGTGGCATAGCAGCATAGGAGGCAGATCTAGTATTTGTCAGTATTCTAGTGAGTCTTCTATCCGTTCAGATCGTTAGAGGCGTAATACCTCCTGTCCATCTATTGACATTCTCTTCATGCAAGTTTTCAAGGTCATTACTTTGCAAATACTCATCCATGTTAGTATATTTCATGATCTGGTATGCTGTATAGTCTGGATGCAACCACTGTGCAGATTTTACTGCTTAAAATAGTGTATCTGTTAGTCAGAGATTCTGCTGATAGAGCTTCTTAAGAGCGTTAGTCAAAATACTTTCAGGAAGCTTGTGGGTACAGTCCAGTAAACAGCGTTCTACTGTGAGAAGGATTTCTAAGTCTTTAGTACAAGAAGTGGGCAGACTTGTGTTTTTAGTTCCATCTTGACTGTGCAGCACTTTAAGTAAGGTTAACCAAGGCACCAAGTGTCCTTTTACAAGGTCACTGTCGAATCCTCTTGGTGGCTTTGATGCGTACCAAAAGCAACTTACCTGTATTTTGTCACCTCATTTATTTTTTTTCTCTAGTTAAATGTCATTTCTTACAGAGGAGCAGGAGTAGCATTTTGCATTTAGGATTAGATTGCTGACAGTTTCCTCCTTAACATTCTTTATTAGTTAGAAATTTATTTTAATGGATTCTTGGTTTTTAAAATTTTTGCAATGTTGATTATTTGAAAATTCTTACATAGTTTTATAGGCTTGTCATTTTGAAAATATACTAGAAGACTTCATATGTTTTTGCTTGTTAGAACTAAAGGTAATATTAGTTTGAATTCTGTATTATTTTGTTTCCCAAATAGGAGGAACTCTGATTTATTTTTATGTGTTAATAAGCCTAAAATTCAAATGTGGAAGTTGAAAATACATTTCTAGATACATGAAATAACCATGAAGTTAATATCATTTGTTGAAGCTGTAACAAGAAGAGTTGTTTGTTTTTTGGTTAGCGTTGTATATTAGTGGGTTATTAGTAATACACAGCTATTTTTATCTGAGGCACTAGAATGTGTATATTAAAGAAAAACAAGCCAAGAACAACAAATAATGTTTATTTGGAAAGGTATGGATTTAGCAAATATTCCCTCAATGCAGGAATACAAGTCTTGAAATTATGTTGTCAGAATTTGAAAATATGTATTAAGGATGATATTTCTAAAGTTATAGATAGGATAGGGTCTAAATATCAGAATGTAAAGGAAAAAAGCTTCATATTTCTTGATATGAAGTTAAGTTTATTGACCTTGAAGAAAACGGTATTAAATGCCCTTTATTGAGTGCTGCCTAAAAGCTTTAAAAAGTTAACACTGTTGAGGATTGGTTTTTGAAGTAAACGTAACTAAAGAGTTTTGTTAGTAAAATGAATAGAGTACTGCCTGTTTATCTAGAGGCTCCTGAAACTATGACACTCTTCTAGTGTCAACCAGCCCTCTCTCCCCTGCTTAATTTGAGACAGCATTGTAGGACAGTGAATTTTGAATTTAGATTTCTTCATTTTCTAGAACTTAATTTTCTTAATTAAATTTAGATTTTTAAGATACTGGCTTTATACAAGTTGTTGGGTGAGTCTTTGTTTGTGACGTTTTGGGTTTTGTATTTGTAGAGCTCTAAGGACACTTCAGTCATTACTCTGTGAGCGTTGAAAGTGTGTATATGTGGGAAAGATGACGGGTGATAAACTTCAGTAGCTCTCATTAATGCTAATGGAAGTTCCTCATGTAAATCCTGCAGGTTGGCAGATGGAACAGAACTACATCCAGATAATGGAAAGATTGTAATACAGACCCTACAAAACTTAGAGTTAAGGGTAAAAGTTGATTGGTTAATCTAGTGTTGTACTTTCTTTCCAGTTGCTAAGTTGAATGGTGTGACTAACGTTCTTCAATTTTAGTGTTTTGCATTGGTATAAAAATTCATATCTATATAACATTTTTGGTTTGTTTTTGAAGTGAGACTGGTCTTTTAATGTCTAAGATTTTGAGTTTTCCTGATTTGCAAATCATTCAGAAAGATAACATTTTTGGTGTGGGAGCTCATTTTGAAGGTGCTGATTGAGATTCTGTCCACCTTTGGAGAAAACAGCATAGTTTTATTGGGAGAAACAGTCTGAAATGTTAAATTACAAAGCATATTGAACTTGGTCTTTAAATTTTGTTGTTTAGTCACTAATTGCATTGATAATAGAGAAAAACGTCTTATAAATTTTTTATCAAGTAAATATTTTGCAAAATGGACAAAAGAATTTTAAAAATTGCCTTTTAGTAATTTAGAATGCTTTTATAATGTTTGTATGGGGAAGAGATTTGTTAAATCATCAAATAGATTTGCTCTATTTTATGAGTTCTTCGAAGCACATATTATAATTAGTTTCATGGAATGCTTTGAACAGATATAAATGCATCATAATAATTTGTGATATCCTGGGTATATATCCTACATCAGTTCTGAATATGGCTGTCAAAATGTTTGTATTTTCTAAGTTAAATTTGAAAACATGTAATTTTAAAATTATGTTCACTATTGTATATAGTAGCTGAACCTCAAATTTAAAACTTCATTAGCATTGAAACCTTGAGACCATTTTTGTAGTCTGTTGGTAATTTGTGAGTTTTATTTAGAACCTGTAGAGTTTAGAAGTTACAGCAAAATTCATTGTATGCAATAAGGTAAAGTTCAGTTTTAATTTTTAAATTATATATCTTACTCCACATTCAACTGCTTTATTGTTTTAGTCTCTGTATAAGAAAAAACATTTTAAGACGTTTAAGACGTTTGTGAATTAAACTTTATGTATTTTCTTTTGTTTTGAAGGTGATTATAAATGTGGTTGCATGGAACTGGGGTAAAGTGTAAACCTAAATTCCCCAGTACTCATCTCTTTTGACAGCATTATTTCACAATTCCAATTATGTGAACATGCAGAATAAACATGCACATTAGGTTCAGAGTTTATCACTGTGACTTAATGTTCTGTGAAACTCTATTCAGTTGTTATATTGTTCCTGTTTTTCTTATTTTTATATTCTGTTTTGTATTCTAGGAAGCTTGAATGTTACTCTTCAACTCTGGGACATAGGAGGGCAGACAATAGGAGGCAAGATGTTGGATAAATATATCTATGGGGCACAGGTATGAAATTAATTCTATGATTATTCCGATACTGAATATACTCCCCTTACAAGCACATAGGCAGGTACATACACACACATATACTGTTTCTACCTTGATTTTTATATCGTATGTAGGGAGACTGATTTTACGTTTGTTGATTTCATCCTCCCCCAAAGTCGTGTTTGGAATGATTTGGGTCAGGGAACTGGGTAAATCTTAATAGCTTTCATATGCTACTTGTATTACTAATATTACTGTCAGAAGTTTAATATATGTAGTAATAAATGATATTTTGATATTTAGTAACTGATTTTGGTCATATTCACCACTTATAGAATATATGAATTGAATGAAAATTATTAGGAAAATTTAATTTCATTTTAAATTGTAAGGACAAAAAGCATATATATGTATATATTTTCTGTGCTATGAATTAGTTTATTAAATATTTATAAGTGTTCAAATTTAATAGATATATTGTATCAGAAAACTAAGTATAACTAATTATATATATGAAGCACATACAGTTTTTTAACATGATAGTCATGTGTAGTGTCTTTTCAGAAGAAAGTCTGTGTAGAGTAAGAAAAACTACTTGAATAATTATATAACAAAAATTCTTTGGCACATGAGCTTATATAGATACATAGATTTTAAAATTAAATTATGCTAATAGAAAATATACATAGTAGTAATTAATGTACTTAATTACTGACATGCTGTTTTTCTTACTTTTTCCTCCACTTTGAGTTAGTTTGTATCTTTCATGTTATCATGAGGTATTGGGGGTAACAGTCATGATTCTCATTTAGTTCTTTGTTGGAGGTTGATGCTTTAAGGGGAGAATCATAACTTGGTTATGTGGAACTGTGTTGCTCATAAAAAAATGAATCTAGAAAATGAAGGCAGAGTATTAAGCACTCTTCTATATGAAGTTTGATGCTTAACAAATACCATTGCCTTAATTTTGGATGGAAAATAGATTCTGAGTTATTTTCTAAAATATGCAGAGAAGGCTGAGGCTCACATGGTTCTTGATCATGTCTGAAGGCCCTCGAGCTGTGTGTTTGCATTGCTGATACATAGATTAGGCTTTTAGGACTCCTCTTCACCTTTTCTTCTACATATTCTTTGTCTCCTGAAAGAAGTTTCACCTGTGACCATATGACAATATTTTATGCCTGTTCATTTTCCTCCTAAAAAATATGTCTCAAGTTTTTGTGTCTGGCTTTTTTATTGTTGTTTCTTTCTGTTTTAAACTGATTATGCTTAAAGTAGATAGTAAGGTAAAGAAAAATTATTGGGCAGAGGTTTGTCAAAAGCCACAGTCCTTGTTTCATTCACCTAGTTGGTAAAATAAGATTTGAAAATGACAGTTTCTTTTCTCTTTGCTCCATTAAAATCTATCTACATGGATACATATTTGATTTAAAAAAATGAGAACTAGATTAGACAAGCTTCTAATGATATTTGACTCTGAATGTAAAATAGAATAACTTTTTATGGTTCATAGATATATCTAGAGTTAGTGGTGAATGGGAAATTATCAGAGTAAATAATATAACATTCAATTAATAAATTTTTTTTCATTTAAAAATTAGGGGAATATAATGTGTGTGGATTAGACTCTCTTAATTTTACCTTACTCCACATCACTTAAAAATTTGATATATTTAGTGTTGGTTAAAACAAAATTTATCAAATTTGTTATTTGATTGATAGGAATTTAAAGTTTATTTATATTATAAAATTATTATATAAAATTAATATTGGTATGAAATTCATATAGTATAAAAGCAAACATTTTCAAAGTGTATAATCAGTAATATTTAGTACATTTACAATGCTATGTGACCATCCCCTCAAATCTTTATAGTTCTTTACAGTGTGTGTTTTATGCTATTATGTAGCTGCTTAAAGTCAGCAGACATTAATGGGCAAATTTGTAGAAATTTTAAAAACTGCCATTATCTTTGAGAATAGTTGAGTTTAGTAAAAATGTCTGTATTCATTTCTAATGTAATTCATATTTTGGGAGAAAGCGCATGTCACATGAGATTTCTATTTTGAAGGTACTTGTTGATTTTCCTTTTTGACAGTGCCTTACATTGTTTATATATTATAATCTTTGTAAAGCATATACCTTGGTTTATTAAAACAATGCAATAAAGTATTTCTAGGAAGTACATGAACATTTTCATGAAATCATTCCAGGAAAGTAGGAATTCTGAGATGATAAAATGAATTGTCATCAATTTTTTCTGCTTTCCAGAGATTCTAAGTTAAATGCTATGTAAAAATGCAATAAAGTACAGTAGCTTCTTTTGTTAAAATATATATAAACTTTTTCACCCATACCAGAGAAGCTCTGACTACAGTTTTCTACTATAAATTGGGGGAAATGTTACTTTTAAAAACAATGCTTTCATAAACATTTTAATAGTGTTTAATAATGTTATATAATTATATAACTATTCTTCAAAGTAGATTTGTGTCTAGAATCATTGTAGATGCTGTATATTGCCCATCTAATGAATACTTCAGATTTTTGTGCACGTGCTATAGGGTAGAAATCTTTGAGAAATGTTTTGACAAGCTGTTTTGAGGACATCAGTATAATGTATTATTTAGGGTTTTGTTCTAGGTTCTGTAACTTATGTGTATGGAAAGAATTATACATAATTGGACTACTATGCTATGAATCTGTATTTTTTTAAAGCATTTCTTATCATCCAGGAAGAAGTTTATTTGCAGGCTAGGAATTAACTTAGAGTCAAATCAAACTGATTGTTTTACCTTCTTCACTTTTTACCGTCTTTACTTTTTCTCAACCAGTAGCACTGAATTTTAGTGATAGTGTATTGAATAGTGTTGGTTAAAACAAAATCGAATTGATATCCAAGAAAGAACTCGTGAGGTATTTTGTCAAAAACTAGTTCTAAGAATTGAAGTATGTCCCAGTTAAACTCCCTGATTTTAAATTAACTTAAAATTTTCTAGGAGTCGTCAGAAAGATATTATAGGCTATTTTTCATAGTGGTTGCAAGCAAACACACAGCACATAGTGTTTAGTGCCCTGTAACCTGTGGCTAACAGAGGCTAATAACAAACCTCAGAGAAGGACTGGATGTTTCGTTTTTGTAGCTCTTTCCGCCCTGGAATCTAAGTGGTTTGCAAACACTGCTCTACTGAGTATAAACTCAATGAAGTGTAGTCATTTGTGAGGTAGAACATAACTACTATTGTGTGCCAGTGCCCCACGCAGATGAGCCACCTTGTTAACCACCAACAGAAGTATATGGTGCTTGTATGACAGCTGCGGAGACAGGAGATCTCGAAGTTGGACTCCCTGAGATTTTGCTATCTTTTGCTTTGAATTTTGTTTTAGTTGGATGTTTGCCAACTTGTAACTGATTATATTTACAGTCCTCTTGCATTAGTGTTCCTTCTTACAGGTTGTACTTGTACAGTAAAATATATGTTGTTATGACTAGTATAATCTATATGATTTAACTCATTTCTATATTTAATTAAAATCTAAAGTAGATTATTTGTTGTACAAATAAGCAAGAAAAAATACCTGCATTTGGGAGTGAGGAACTTTTCATTAAGTTGTGTATATTGTATCTATTAAATTTTAGAACTAAGTTTTAAAAGACCTTATAATACTGTTAAGTGCTGCCACAGTGTGTGTTACTTCAAGACTGCTGTTGGTTATTCCTTTGAAAATGGTGTCCATTTGATTTACTGACTCATCATACTTACTTGGTATAGTGATAAGTGAAGCAGATGAAAACAAAGTGCTAGCTAATATTATGTAGTTATCTACTAAAAGTCTTAAGGTTTATAAAGAGAAGAGGTTTTTTTTTTTGACAATGGTGAAGTTAAGGTAGAGGAAAATAGAGGAAATTTTTATGAAGAGTTTATTAAGATGTAGAAGGATTGCTTAAAGAGTCTGATTTCCTAAAGTCATGGCAGAAAGATTTGAAAAGAGGAGCATTTGGAGAGTCAGTTAGGAAGAGGAAGCACAGGGCAGGATAAGGATGAAGACATACATAGCAGAAGGGTCAGTGGTGGATAGATTCAGGGACATGAGACATGGTGGTGGGTTTAGATGGCTGCAAGGTTGCCAAGAGACAGTTATTTCCAGCAGTTCCCTGGAGATTCTTTTCAGACTTCAGTTGTTGCCGAAATGTGTTGCATTTCCGAGAGAGTTGTACTTTCTGATAGTTTTCTGGAAAAAGGCTGGATTGATTGATGTGGTGAGAGACTCGGGGCTTTGAGGTGCTTGTATTATAGGCTCCCAAAGAGGTGAGTACTTAGAGGTCTGGCTTTGGTGTGCCGAAGCTGGTGGGTAGCAGCTCTGGGAGTCTGTGGCAGCTTGTATGAGTTTTGGCAGTTTGTGTGTTTCAAAGAATTGGTTCATTTCATCTGTGTTTTCAAATTTTTGGCCATGAAGTTGTTCATATCATTCCTTCATTATTCTTTTAATGTCTATGGGAATCAGTCATGATCCCTCATTAATTTGTGTCTCTTTCTCAATCACTCTCTCTCTCTCTTTTTGGTTAGCCTGGCTAGAGGTTATCAGCTTTTGCTTTTGTTAATTTTCTCTATTGTTTTCATCTTTTCAATTTCATTGATCTCTGCTCTAATTTTTATTATTTTTTCTTCAGTTTGCACTGTTTAAATTCCTCTTTTCTCTTAGTTTCCTAAAGTGGAAGCTTAGATTTTTGATGTTTCTTCTTGTGATATATATATCATGATATATATATATATATATATATCACAAGATATATGTATCACATTCAGTGCTCTATATTTTCTTCTAAGCACTGTTTTTGCTGTATCTTCAAGTTTTGATAGGTTATATTTTATGTAAGATATTTTAAGCATCTCCTGGGACTTCTTTTTTTTGACCCATGTGTTATTTAGAAGTATGTTTAATTTCCAAATATTTTGAGTTTTCCCAGCTATCTTTCTATTATTGATTTCTAGTTTAATTCCATTGTAATCTAAGA